CTCATCCAACCTGGAATATTCTCATATTCTACCACATCTCTGGGCAACCTGTGCCAGTGCTTTACCACCTTCATTTTGAAAAACTCCACACTTCTTCCTTACAGATAATATAAATCAATGCTTCTTCAGTTTAAACCATTGTTCCTTGTCCTGTCACAGCAGGTCCTGCTAAGAAGTCTATATACCCATCTTTCTTAGGCTCCCTTTAAGACTGAAAGGCCAAAATAAGGTTCCTCCAGACCCTTCCCTTGTCCAAGATGAACAACTCAAGTTCTCTCAGCCTTTCCTCACAGGTGAGGTGTTCCAGCCCTCTGATAATCTTCATGGCTCTCCTTTGGAACCACTCAAAAAGTAGGTTCCAGTCTGTGCTGGGGCTCCCAGACCTGGTTGCAGCAGTCTGAATGGGCTCTCACCAGAGCACAGCAGAGCAGAAGGGCAGAATCCCCTCCCTCACTTGCTGCCCACACTGCTCTGGATGCAGCCCAGGACAAGTTTGGCTTCCTGGGCTGTGAGTGACCATTGCTGGGTCATGTCCAGCCTCTCACTCACCACCACCCTCAAATCCTTCTCAGCAGGGCTGCTCTCAATTTGTTTATCCATCAGTCTGTAACAATACCAGAGGTTTCCCCAACCCAGGTGAAGTGCACTGCACTTGGCTTTGTTGGACCTGAGGAGGTTACCATGGGCCCAATTCCAGAACTTTTCCAGGTCCCTCTGGATGGCATCCTGACCACAAGGCAGACTCCTGTGCCAGTATCAGTTGATATATCAGCTTATGGTGTCCAATGGGTTACCACCATCTTTCACTACCTTTGAAGGACATCTCAGAAAGCCAACATGCAGTAAATCACCCTGTATCAAACTCCAATTCCAGCTATTACTAGACATGAGTCATGTATTAGCACACATTAACCAGGTTTTGTTGGCAGAAGAAATTCCAAGAAAGGAGAATTGAAGATGAAAAGGAATGAGAAAATAAATAATTTTTGTCTTTCCTATTTTTTCAGCTATACTTCTCTTTGAATGAAGGCTGTCAGGTACTGCAAGCCTTCAGGTTTTCATTCTCTATGATGTCCTGAGGTATTTCTGCCCACATTGCTACAGCTGCTGAATTGAAGATGGCTGCATCTCCCATCATGCAAGTTCAATGCTTAGTCTGGTGAAAAATTCAACCCATTTGATAGTTTTGTTGAATCTTCATATCTGAAGTGTTGAATCTTTATGATTCATATTTCATTTTGTAAAGACTCATTTTCTAATCTCTTTTGTGGAAAGCTGAATATTTCAGGTCGTATTTCAGGAAACTGAGGCAACATTTCCTTCCTGTGCTTGGAAGAAAAGAAAGTTGAATTGCACAGTTCTTCTCCTATTTTTTTTAAATTTTTTTCCAGAAATGGGCAATGCTGCTGTTAAAGACAGTGACAGTTGCTAGAAGCAATTCTAATAACTTCACCCAGGGAGCTTTTTTCCAAGTATGATTTACAGTATGACCTACAAAATGTAGCTTGTTATTGGAAAGGCAAGGACATAGATTTTTCAAGGGCATTAATAGCACAGTCTATGTTAAACTTGCTGCTTCCCATTTGCTTTCATGTTTATAAGCAAATAAGTGTTTTCATTGCTTCCAGTAGTTTAGTCTTTAATATAATTAGATGTAGTCGTTAAGCTGTTTGATATTATATAATGCAGCTGTTTTTCCTTTAAGCAATATCTTTATGCAGGAAAGACAAATTCAGATTTTATTCAAACAAGCAGAATTCCCACAAGACAGTCCAAGTTATACTCAAATTACAGATATGCTAGAGGCAAATTGATACTGTCCTTCATTAAAATCTTTTTTGTGGTTTTGGATCCTTGGCTAAGCATTACTTGTAATGTAAAATACATATCCTGAGGTGTTAGATACATATGTCTGGATTGTCTCCATGTGAATTAGAGTCCACAGAGTTGAAAAAAATTCTCCTGTTTCAGTGTTTTCCTACCCACTGGTGTGAAGATTTCTATTTGCTTTTTTGGACAGCATTGTTATTATGGCAGTAGGAAGAAATAATGGTACATAAAGAGCTCCATAGGAGTATGATAATAAGGAATAACACTTCTGAAAACTAAACAGATAGAACAGTGCATTTTTTTCAGTATATTTTTAGCAGTTGCCCTCACAATTTAGCTGAACTAACTTCAGCATTTTTTATTTAAAGAAATTGTTCAAGTGGTGTAAGAGCTAATACCTGGATTAAGCAATTCTGGCTTTCAGTTGTGGTTTTGTTTGCTTTCCTTCAGATATTTTCTGTAGAAGTATCTAAAGAAGAAAGTGGAAAAGCCTTTCAGACTTCAGTTTACTGCTCTTCCATTATGAGACATACAGCTATCCCAAAGTTCTTTTGCTGTTGATGTCACTTTCACACCTGCCTTCATTCTTTTTTGTGTGGTGGTTTTATTGTTGCACTGCTACCAGCCAGCTGCAGCCAGAGGTTTCATTGAGCAGGGTTTTCCCTGGCTTGGAGATCATTGCCACTGCTCTGGTTCTGATTGCTGTGATTTCTGCCCTCTTTCAGGTGTTGGGAGGTGGATTTCATAGGCTCTGACAGAGCTACTTGAACCATCCATCTCATCTGTTTGATGCCTAATTGCATGAGTGGTTTTATGGTTTTAGATTGTTTTATTCTAAGATTTTTAGTTTCAAGGCAGCAATACTTACAAATAGGATTTATAAGACAGAACTACTAAGTCTCCAAGTACAAGGTTGGACATTGCCCATTGAGAGGTACCAAATCAATTTATCTTTAAAACTTCATGATTTGAGGCTTGTGAAGGCTGAGTGCTTGACAGATGTTTCAGTTATTCCTCCCTCAGCAAGACAACAAGAGTAAGGGTTTTGGTTTCACTGCTCTTTCAGTAGCTCTCAAAATTGGGAGAAATGATTACTGTGACTCCAGCTGCACTCACTGCTCTGCTTCTCTGGAGCTCTGCTCTTACTGAAATGTGAACTGCAAAAGAAAGACTATGAAAATTACTTAAGAAAAGGAAGTTTCTGCAACAAATTTATGTCTGTTGTCTTGAGACAATGTCCATTCTCCAATAGGTGAAGTAATGTAATAAAGAAGCAGAGTAGATATGCAAGTTCATTTTCTTGCAATTCCAAAGTAAGGAAGTATTCAGGTCAGTGTAACAGCAGCGAGAATTCACACTTTTCCTGCCATCAGAGTCAAATGTCATAAAATATTGACACATCGTCATGGCAGGAAATCTTGTTAATGTGTTCCTACCACGGGGTTGGGTTTTTTGCTGCCACTTCCAAGAGTTTAAATATAATCCATAGGAAGTCTTACAGATGATAAATTTGTAAGGAACTCTAGCTGCTTATACCTAGAGCTACACAAGATATGAAAGAGTACTGGCATGATTTTTTTTCTACAACATGAAAGCCATGATCTGTGAAAGTCACAAAGATGCCTGGGGGTCTGCTTATGAAATATGGAAGAAGATACATTTAATTAATAAAATCAAAACCTTCCCACACTTTAAAATATTCCTTACTTTCTTCAAAAACATTCTTTTGAGAAAAAAAAATTGGAAACAGTTATTTTTACTAGTAGCTATAGCTTGGTTTTTACTAGTACTTTTAGTTGGGTTTTTACTTAAAATCCTGGGTTCATGCAGAGAAAAGTTCTTGCTGTTTACATTGTGAATGCTGCAAAACCAGAGTACCTGTTACAGAGTTTTCACATTTCCTTTGAAGTTTTTTTTTTTTTACCAATATTGATTTTTTATATTTCTTTCAGTCCAGTCTTCTGCAGCAAGCATAAATTATTCTATAGCCCTTAAATACATTATCTATGCTTTGAACCAAAGTTAGTATTTTCTCTTACTTTTTTTAAAAATCTTGTGAGAAAAGTTCTAAAAAACTTTAGTGATTCCATTTGGTAGTTCGCCTCTGAACTTCTACTTCATATAGTTCAGCTAATGAGGGAATTGAGTGAGAAAGTTCAAACTAAGGAAATAAATGTGCACAGCTGTCCTTAAGAAGAACATCTTATTGAGGTAGAAAAAGAGACAGAAACTTCTTTTCTACTTCCTCAAGATCCACTTGAACACTCCTGCTGTTTTATTCATTCCTCTTCAGGGTGCAATTTTGGCCTTGAACCCATGAGAAAGGAACATGTTTTGAGCACATCAGTGCTGCACCTCAGAGTGTACCTTTAGTATAGATGTAGAACAAATTTGTGCACCAAAGGAACCCCTGAAGTTCACCAAGTAACTCATAAGGGCCTGCTATGTGTGACTCACAGCAGCCATGACCTGGGAAGGGAAAGGTTCCTTTGGGTAGTTATGCCCCTCTTTTTGCCTGCTTTTCTCCTTGCATACACACCCTTGACCCACATACAGCAAATTTCTCCCTCTAGTAACTTGAGTCATTTCATAGATTGCATTTGTCTGTTGCAATTTTGATTTACCAGTTCACCCATAGAAGTTTGTGTTTCATATCAAGAGGTTCCAGTGTTGAAATTTATAAATAAATTGCTTAGAATACCATTATTCAGGAAGAAGCAATATGAAGTTAGAATTAAAAACTTTGCAATTTACCAAGGGTAGGAACCATAGATTTAATGTCAATCTACATTTACTACTTCACTTAGGTCTGCCCATTAATTCAGTTCTACTGATTTAATAATACATACTTTTAGAAAGGAAAAATGCCATTGACTTAAAGAGCCTTTGACTCATTCCCTGTGTGAAAAGGATTCTGAAAATGTGCTGTTATCTCAGCTGAGATGTGTTACATTCCACGAGCTAATGTGGTGTCAATTCACAGGGGAGAGTGGGCCTTCAGTCAGACCACCTTTCTTGGAAAGTTCTTGTTCCTTAAACCTGCATATAAGACTTGCACTGCACTAAGGTCAAACCATCTGGTTTTTAATATTTTACCACCCCTAAAGCAATTTTCGGGTAATAAAAGTTTGCTTTGATTGTCCTTGTGGAATTACTTCTGAACTGCATACCTTACCACTGTTCTCTGATTTCTATTCCCATCTTGGTTCAGAAATATTTCTTGCAATGATCCCTGACTTTTCAGGGACTCAATTCAGAAGAATTTCTTAGATCCTGCAACAGATACAGAGTAGCTAATTCAAGTACCAAAAAGCAAACCAAGGAAGTGAGAATTAACCTGAGTAATACTGCAGTGGTTACCCAAAGCAGCATAGGCAATGCTTGCCCTGCATCTCTCATTGCAGCCTAAATTCTGGGTCAGTCCATGAGACCTGGAAAATGGAAGAAGTTCCTTTCAAGACCTATAGGAAGACCTCAGAGAAAGGACCAGGATTTTGCAGGCAATGGTGCAGTAGACACAATCACTGTTACACTGTAATACTAAACTCTGACAAATAATAGCAAGACTATTACATTTCTTGTGACATACTAGTGCCAACAGGACCAGACTAGGTCACAGCTGTGTTACAAACCATATCATTTTCACACAAACAGCAAGAAATTATTCCTGTTCTTGAGTGCTTGCAATTAGAATGGGTGCAAGGAGAAGGGCTGGGGAAAGGCAGTACTGTCAGCCATGCTGTTTCAGATGAAGAATCCATTACAGACACAATAACTAACACTAGAGTTCAGCTCCAGTCTCCTGTGTTGCAGGTTGATGTGTTAAACACAATATTGTCCTTCTGTATTCCTGTGCTTTTAAAAGTTAAACAGCAATATCAACCACCTTATATCTATTGTTTAACATTTCTGAAGAGTATTAAACTTCAATATCTTAAGCAAATTTCATCTAAATCGTTGCATTAATACAATGCCAGGGCACTGCAGATTTTTTACCAAAAAATAGCTGTGTGTCTCATTTAATGGAAACAGCAATATTCTCAACAGGAACTATATTTCCCAAGCTTGTGTAGTATTTAATATTATAGGTATTTCTGAGAATTTGCTATTGCTTATCATAATGTCCTAGAAAAAGAGCAAGATGATTAAGCAATTTTTTTTATTTCCTCATTTGCTATCTCATGAATAAGTGACAGAAAATTGGACACAAAAAATAAAGCCTAGGAAAAATCACTCCATATATTTCTTGAAATTGTGGATGGACAGTGTTATATACATCTCAGCATGTTTAAAGGATACTGCCATTCACAGTTAAATACTAAGAAGTGCAGAAATGACAGAAAAATCACAGCTAAAACTAGGTACAGCCTACTCATTTCTGCCTTGTGATATGGGCATGCCCACCACCACAAAAAAACCCCACAAACGTTTCTAGGGCCTTAGTCCAAGTAATTACCAAAAGAAAATTTTTTGTCTCTCCAGTAACTTGTACAACACATGAAAAAGGAACACTGCAGACTGCACAAGCAGTATTTTCTTTAGAGGCCATGATAATGGCAGCCAAAGTTAAGCTGTGAAGATGAAGATTTTCTCAATTTGAGAACTTGAACCCACACTTCCACCCTTCAACCCCATCATATTATAGTGAGTTCTAAAAACTGATGAGCTGAAAGCAAGAGATTGTAGCCTTCATCTGGGAGGGAAATAATCTCACTTTCCCTGGGTAGCTCAGTCCGTAAACTTGTAGCTCTTTGTCATAGTTTGAGCCTGGCACAATGCCAGTGCCCCCATGAGAATACCCTCTCCCTGGTGTCTGCTGTGAGATGTGACCTGGAATAAGCAAAGCAGGCTCCTACTTAGAAATAAAGAAAACTTTATTAACTAAACTACAAGGAAAGAAAAAAAAAACACACAAGGAAAATAAAAACCTTACAAAAGCATTTTCCTCGTCCCCCCACCAAATTCCAATACAATACATCTCTCAAATCACCAACTCTTGGTCTGGCACCACCCTTTAGAATACTCAATCTTCAGTTCATCAAGAGGAGAAGGAGTGCTTCTTTGTGCCATGGGCTTCTTGTCACACGTGGCACTGCCCGGAGATCATTTGCCATCGTGACATCTTTCTTCCATGCTCAGTGCTCTCACCACTGCGCATGGACCAGAGCTGCTTCTAGGGTTCCTTTTAGATCCTTTTAAGGATGCCTTGTCTTCTTCCAAAAAGCCACAGTCTCTCCTTCGGGACATCTGTGCCCCCCATGTTTTTTTGCACCCCCTGGGGCCGAGGGGTACCCACACTGAACCCTCTTGGTTCTGAGGCATGGCCCCCCTGGAAGCTGTCTCTGTATCACAAGGAAATAATCCATGGCTATACAAAAAGAAAAAAAAGAGTCCAGCAAAAAACTCCATTTTCTCCATTCTTCCAATATCTCTCTCTCTGCCCAAACCTTCATCACTCTTCTAGGAAGGTTTAACGTTCTGTAAAGTTTTCATTGTCCACAAAGGGGTTAAAATCTCCCACAAGCGGCTGGACGCATCGCTGCCTCTTCTGCCCCCTCCCCCCCCCCCCCCCCCCCCCCTTTCCTGTTTCTCAGCCGTGCTGCCTGCTGCCGCACATGTTTATCAAGTTTCAAGGTAACTCCCAGGCATGGCTCTGTCTCCCAGAAGGGGGGTGGGGGGGATACCTCTCAGTATTTCTTCGATGCTTCCACCCGTGGGCCCCTCAGGGTCAGGCCCACCTCTCCCAGGCCGCGTGGCTTTCCTCCCGCCACCCCACCCAGACAGCAGCTGGGCCAGGGGAGGAATTGAACTCTCTCCCGACGGAAATCCAAAGAGAACCTTCCAGGGGGGAGCCCTGCTTTTAACCCTGTGTTCTCAGAGGTGGATCCAAATGTCCCAAGGGCCACATCAGGTGCCAATATTGAAATCTGAGCACCCATTGGTTTGACTACAGCATCCCAGAAATCCCATTTCCGGTCAAACCACCACACTCTTGTTTAGGGTTACTTTGTTTGATCTTATGAATCTGCTTGTTGAGAGGTGTCCAAGTGCTTTTTCTCACTATCCCCAGGTTGGTGAACAGTGTGGGTTCATGCAGCGTGTACACTAAAGCCTTCCACTTGGCACTGTCAACACCCCAACATCTCTCATTTCCCATGGAGAAATTCTCTGTTCTTGGGTGCTACACTAAGGATAGGTCTCATTGGTTACTGTTGAATGGATCATCTCCATTCCTCACTACAGCTATTCACACTGCACCTTGCAAGTGCTCCACCTACAGTGGGATTGCTATAAAGTTTTGGATGAGAAATGTGTATGAGAGTAATGCCTGAAATGTTTAGATCTCAAGAAAGTAAGGCAGTTCTAGTTCACAAGCTTCTTTACTGGGCAACCAAGGTAACATAATCCTAGACTCTAACACACAGTGTTAAAGATACTGCAAGGAAATTAATTTGAAATTCCACTTAATTTCTTCTCATATTAACATATTTTAGTTAATTTTAACATTGTATTTATTCTCATGACTATATATATATCTTTCATTTATGCATATTGGGGGTGGGAATGGGGAGAGTATTGTTTCTATATGTGTTGTATGCTCTCTGGCCAGAGAAAGCAAGAGATGTGACTATGCAACATACAAAGCATGCATTATCTTCACATCACCTACATTCTTCTGTGTTTCATTGGAATCTTATCTTGGAAATAAGATCCTCTGAAGCACTCTTGAAGCATACTACTTCAATTTGAAGGCTTTTACACGAAGTCAGAATATTACAGGCCAGTATGACTCAGTTGCCAAGCTTCTAGTTCCAGCAAGATTAATTTACTCTTGACAGTGTGTAAGTTCCTGGGGATATTTTTAATCTTATACAAATATCCTACAATAAAAAGTTCCTGCTAACTTTATTACCAAAGGACAAAGTAATTAAAGAGAAGGTCAATGGGAAAGATCTGCAAATCTTTGATGTTAAAATATGTATCACCATTCCTCTGGATTGTTTTCTATAGTCTAATTACATAAATCTAATTATAAAACTTTATTTCTGAAAAGAATTGAACTTACTTTTCTAGAGTAGATGAGCATATTCAGAACACAGTTATTTAGGTAAAAGAACAGTATATGCTATGTTTTTAGTTTAAGGAACACAGAATGAAGGATTGTGTATAAAACAAGGCATATGCTTTACCCTTGCCAAAATAAAGTTCTTCTGCACTTCCAGGGCTTTCAGTCATCACCTCCAGAGTTACCACAATTCCCTGACAGAGACTAGGGGTAGGAAGAGAACAAGTTGGGGTTTGTTTACCATTTCACTTTGGTTAGCTACAAACCTCATCATTGGCCTGGGCCCATGCCTCATGTCTTTCCTTCAGTGATTTAAGGCACCCAGTAGGGCCCACATTTTTAGTGTGAGTGAAAAGGAAACTGGAACGACAGGGATTTGTCCAAGCCCAAGAAATGCATCTGCTGCAGCAGCTGGAAGCAGAAGTCAGAAAAAACCCAGTAACTGTACTGTCCTATAAAGAGATAAGAAGAAAAGAAAAAAGGAAAGGAAAGGAAAGGAAAGGAAAGGAAAGGAAAGGAAAGGAAAGGAAAGGAAAGGAAAGGAAAGGAAAGGAAAGGAAAGGAAAGGAAAGGAAAGGAAAGGAAAGGAAAGGAAAAAAGAAAAGAGAACAACAAACCAACTGAAGCTATTTTATGATTGAACAAGGATTATTGTACATATAATTTATAAGTTTAAACTATTTCTAGACTTCCAGACACCATGCCATGGAGGAGAACCACTGCAAATATCTCAGGTAAATTTCTTGGTAAGTTGCCTCTTGTAAAATAGCTCTTTCTTCTGGGGAAAAAAAAACCCCAACAGAATAAAAAAGATAGCTTGTTAATAGTATGGGATATGACTTTTATGAGATGAAGGTATTTTCACATAGATGTGGCTGCTCAAATTACATCTGCTCTGCCATTGACATTTGAGCAACAAATCTGAATGATGTTATATCTAAAGCTTGTGATCTTATGTATCTTTTTTTTGAGTTTACTATGAGATATATTTTTCCAATATCTTATGAATATAATTCTAGTTAAACTTAAGGAACAGTATTCATATACAACTAGTATCCCACTGAAAAGTGGAGAACGAGACATAAGAATAAGAAATATGGTTATGCTGGGAAGCAGGGATATGCTCATGTTACAGGAAGATAAGAGAATCCCTAAAGATCTTGTTGGTTTTGTGTGAGAAAGGAATAAAAGATAAACTTGATAACTCCCAGAAATATGAAAAAGTAAATTCTAGTTTTTGGATTAAAACATTTGGCAAAAAAATGAAAACAAATTTAAAAAGTATCATAAATAAAATGGAGGCTGTGGAATGCAGCCTGACTGCTATTGTATTCATGAGGAGAAAGTACTAGATATGGAGTATATTGTAATAACAGTGTGTTGTGTTAGTTTGGGTTTTAAGTCTGTAGAATTTCATGCCATGAAATAAAAGACTTCTCTGCACATAACAAGGTAGTCATTCTTTATTGATCTTTTTGAAACATGAAATACCCAACACATGGAAGTAAGTAAAATCTGATGTTTTCAAAATATAAGTACAGTGAGCACAGGTTAGCAGAGTCATTAGATCAAGTCCCCCTGCTATTTCAAACAGCTGTCTCATAGATACCTCTCCATAAACTTAACTAGATCAAATTTAAATGGGTGACATTGGTAGCTCCCCACTGCTATTTCTATGGAAAATTGTGTTCAAGAGTGTAAGCGGTTAAGGGGTCTCCCTTATATATTTAGCCTGAATTACTTTATTCATTATATGCCAAGATGGTGTCTTAGTTAACACAGCCCAGGAGACTTGAACTCACTAAACAAATCAATATTCTCTAGCACACCCTCCTTATGCTGAAACCCTGTGTTTCATTTGTTCTATTTGATTTGTCCTTTTTTAAAAAAAGGGATATGTCTTTTTCTACATATCATTGCATGGCTTTGTTCTTTAGTTAGAAAAGAATCCTTTTATTACTGTGTAGAGAATCAGGTTGTACTGACTAGTCAGTAATCTTAAAAACACAGCTAAGTTTGTTAAAGCATAGTTTTTTCATCAATGTTTAAAAATCTGGTGAGTTTTGCATTAATTCTAGTAGCAATATTTACTGCAGCATTGGTAAAGCACTGAAACAAATGCTAAGGGTGAACAGATTCTTAATTAACATGTGCCTGTTATTGCATTGGCAATAGTTAAGGCAGCCAGAGGCAATCTCAGCTCTTGTTTTCCATGTGATCATACAGATTTGGGTTTGGTTTGTATAGGCTCAAGCAGGAAGATCAGCAAAAGATGACTAAAAACACATACAGATTTGAACAAATCTATTTGCAAAGAAATATATTGAGAAGACCAATATTTTCAGTCACTTCAGTGAAAGGAAAAACTGGACATTGTATATCCTTGGTGAGCCCTGAAGATCTGTGTTTTCTGTCAATCTAAAGTAACAAGGAATTAAACATTTACTATCTTTGCCACCAGATAGATCAGTGAAACGTGAAGAGAATAGTACTAATCTTTTTTTTTTCCAGAGCAGAAATACATATTTGATGTTTAATGCAGGGCTACTCTCAACTGGGAAATGTCTGTTCATTGAGTAAAAATAACATTTTTTTGCCAGCAGGCTTTTTAAACCTATGGTTTTGCTATCTGTCTAAGGCTGTTTTATATTAAAGCAACAGGACTAACCATTTAATGGGGATATCTTAGTAGAAGAAACTGAAACAAGGTAAACCCCTTTTTTAAGAGTATAATTTGCTGAGCATTCCATAATTTTTAAGTTAGGATTCATGGCAACTAATTTTAGCTATCCAAAAATTGAGTCGCTAATTAATAAAGAAAATCAACAGAGAAAACCAAATCTAAGGGCATTTATTTTAATTTTAAAATAGGTGAAATTAGTGACTGGCTTATCACAGAATTTCTGCAGAATGTCTCATCTTTGATAGTGGAGGGATCCTGAATGCCCATCTTGGACTGGAAGCTTAAATGTTAGATTGCTAAAGTTGGCTGAGAATAACATTTTAGCCTTTAATAACAATTTTTACATTAAAATTTCTGACCAATAAATTAATTATTAATGACCACTGAATTAATTAAGGCCTTTATGTGCTATAACCATAAAGACTAGTTGTTCAATTTCTTTATTAACAACATATCTGCTTTTATTGAAAATGCTGAAAGATAAAACTTACCACAGTGAGATTCAGGTCAATGAAAGCTTGAAATGCTCATGGTCAGAGATGTATAAAACATACATATATGATTCTCTCAGCTGGAAATATTTGGAAAAGGAAAGGGAAAAATCACATATTCATAGTTCCACCCTTGCAGTACCTATGTGCAGCACAGATCTGTGGCACCCAGCACATTGTGTTATGTAATAGAACTAAACTAGGAACAAGATTCCTGCAGATTTTTTTCTGGGAAAGAATACTTCAAATACTATGCAGCTTTGAAGCTGTTGGTTGCTCAAGTCACGACTCAGTGGTGCCTGAGCATCTGCAAGAAGTCACATAGATCTATAGTGGCTGACTCATTTCCAGTTTTGTGCAGAGATATGTGCGTCACATCTTTGATTAATGGCACTAGTGGTGAGAAAGACAGCATCTGGGAGAAACTGAGGAGGTCACTGCAGTCACACTCATTTGTCAGGCAGAGTCTGGTGATGAACATAATTGTTGTAATTGCTTTAAAATTTCCTGACTTGAAATATCATCCTTGCAAAGAAAATTGTACAGAGTTCTCAAATGCAAAGGGAAGAATATGAGGTTTCAGCCTAAGCTGAGGATTTTTTCAGTATTTGATAAAGCTTATGCTCTCCCAGGTCTGTCTAAATGCTAAGCACAAGATTTCTTAACACAGGAATGTGGTGTCAAAGATCAGCTCAGCAAGTGAGCTTCTCTCTGCCCAAAGTAAAATCTTTGCAGATGTTCTTATACAAGCAGCAAGATTGTGTTTAACAGAAAAGATATTCTGCATGGCTCTTTCTATTTTGGAGAAATAAAATACTTTTTCCAGTATTTTTCTCAGCTCAACTGATTTTCCACTGCCTAGCATCACCAGGGTTTTCCTTCTGGATATTTGTACAATACTGAATACCAGTTTGGAATCTTCCATTCAGCAGCTGTTAGCTAGGAGATACACAAAGGCTTCTCAATCTTCCCCCTGCTCTGGAGTGAGAGGGATGGGCAGAGGCATCTTGGCAGCAGGACCACATGTGGATTTTCAGGCATTATGAAGGTGAGTCCATGGCCAAGTGCCAGAAGATTCCTGCTGTTTGAAATATGACAGAGCCTCTTTCAGCAATGCTCCCGAGTCTGCCAATGGCAGGTGCAAAATCAGTGACAGATGGAAAACATTGAATTGGCTTCTCTGTCTCTTCTTTAATCAAGTCTGGGGACTTACATGCTAAACAACATTACTTAGATTATTTTTTCTTTAATTCTGTTAATTAAAAAATATATCAAATTTTCTCATGGCAGGATATATTTTTCAAAACAAACATTAAAACAGAAATTAAGGCTAGTAAATTATATTAGTCTCTTATTCAAAAGTATAGTCATGGAAATAAAATAATGTGTCAGAACATCTTACAGACTTTGCTGGTGTCTACTAAGTTTAAAACAAATTTGTATACAGTTAGAGTTCAACGCCTGAACTCTCTTGTAATTGCACAAATTTCAATAGTAAATTATTGTTTTCAATCACTTTTATGTGATTTGATCCTACAATCTGAAGTTTTAGATGCAAAAATTTACTAATACCCTCAAAAAAGTTGGTGGTAGTAAATATAGAGAAATTAATCTCTGTAAAAGTTTTTATATTCAGCACTGGCCACATAATTCGAGAAGAATTACAGCTAAAAAAAAATCACATGTAGTATTTGCTCTGGGGATGTTTTTAAACAACACTTTAATACCAAATAGACCACATCATCTGTGCTGGCTCATCGCCTTAAAAGTTATTGCTGCTTCTCATGTGCAATGGAGCAGGAAATCAGACAGTAAACACTGCAAGAATTATCAACAATTTTAGGCAGTACCTAATGTTAACTGAATAAATATGGGTTTTGTGAGTATAATTTGTACTCAGGGAAAATGAGGGGAGCAGCCTGAAGGAATGAAAACAATGGTACATGCTGGATTTGCTGCAATAAACAGTCTTGTTCATTTGCAAATGAGGAATGAATGAAAGCAATGGTTTTTCAAGAAATATCCTTACAAGGTTTTGCGTGAACCCAAAATTTTGGTAATTTTCAAGAAGCTTTCAGATTGACACATACACACACACATACACACACACACAAACCTTAAAAAAAATTACTTACTTTTAATTCTGCTCTTGATCTAAGGATAACTCTTCAGCATTTTAATCTATTACCTCTAAGGGCTAGTGCTTTTTCTCTCCTCCTGTGCAGGAGTGCATGAGGGGAATGCCAAAAATAACATCTGAATGTTATTGCAGGTATTTTATTTCAATGACATTCTGAATACTAATTTATATTCATGCAAATAATTAATAAAAAGTTTTCAATAGAGAGAAATCCCTCCCCTGCTACTTCCTCATTTGTCTGTGCAGAACCAAAGCCTATTTTAAGTTCAGTCTGTTTCCCTACATTTTTTGAATAAATATATTTAGTACTTAGGATGAAATCATCTCATCTACATTTATAAGAAGGAAATTTTCAATGTATCCTTAATGAACATATATTAAAAGATGCATCTTATTGAACATGTCAGCATAAAACTAGCTTGACATAATCTACATTAGTTTGTAGAGTAAAAACTCAGAAAAACTACAGACTTTTTGAAGAAGCAAAACAATTTCAAATAGGTACTTTGGAGGTGTGTGGTTAAACTACTCTCTATATTCTTTCCTTCCCCAAGACGAAGATGTTCTCACAGATTGCATAACTTGAAAAATCACAGTCTTGAGTCACCAATGCTGAAATGTAATAAAATAATGAGGTCCCTAGTGCACTTAAATTTTATGAAGCCCAGACATGGCCAGGGAGCTCATATATCAAAAAGGAAAGGTCAGCAATATTCTCTTTTTTAAGAAAGTTAAGTAGCCACTAAATTGCCTCAAAATTGGAAGAATATTACTTATTCAACATAATCCTCCAGTAATCTATAGGCGTTTTTAAATTTTTTCTTCCAGTGGAGAGGCCACTTTTGGGCATCCTCTGTTGGCCTGTGAGGGGAGCAGTGCAGAGCCACTCTGAGTGGACTGTGCAATGTGTTGGCTGTGGTCTGGGCTGGTGCTGGTGCCTGGCAAAGGGCATCCAAGCCCTCAGCACGCTCTGCTGCTCCTGCACAGTCTGCCATGCCCAGCCCTCTGCACCTGAGGCACTGTCTCCTCTGGAGGTGCTCTCTACACACCAATTTTTACTGTTAGCAGTACCCCACAGCAGCAGATCATGTGTGATTACTGCAGGCTGGACAAGGCACGCTGCTTCCCAACATTTATTTCTTCTTCAGCTCTTACCTGCACCACATGTGAGGCAGCTATCCTGTCACATGGGATACAAACATGTGTAGGGAAAATCCCTAAAGAGTCCAATGTATACCCTAAGTACCTCTTAGACTATTTAGAGGCATTATTTGTCCAGATGTACAGCTGCACATGCCATGACTCTGTGTGGTAAGCAGTCAGCATTCTAAGAGAAATCACTCTGAATTACACATCAGACTTTGTCAGAACAAACTTGGTCCATTTTTTTTTCAGTATCCTTCATAATCTTGTTGTTTCATTTGTCTTTCTCTGTTTGTGGCTCTTCTGACCACACTTCTAAACAATGTGCAAAGAAGGACAAGGTACTAATTACTTCATCAACTCTATTACTGTTGTTCTCTTTAAAAGGTGTCTTTAATATAGTTCTTCTTTGAGAATACTGATTTTCAAGATTATAATGTAAATATGCTTTCTCAGGATTTGATAAAAGCAATCATGAATCTCAAAATCATAACTCATGACTTAAAATGCATAACTCATGCAATGACTTTACAGGTTTTATATTTGCTTAAGAAAATAAGTTGCTACAAACAGACGAAATCCTAAAAGTGTATTGAAGATGACAGTTGGGCAGCTTTGCTATTATATATTGAATGCATCAAATGATTAGTGAGATGCACAAGATGACCACCTTAATAGGCAAATAATGACATTTTATGAGAAAGCATAAATTTTCAAGTGTATTTGAACTAATAAATAGCAGTCATAGTATCTGGAAAAAAGACCAGTCTGGAAGGAATACATTAAGAGTATTAAGAGAAACAGGATTTTTTCTGTGAGTATGGCTGACTTAAATAGTTAAATATCACCTAAAATAACAAACCTGAACCTAAAGGAGCTACTTCTATTGTCAAGGATGAGGCAGAAGCATGTTTAAAGCTCAGATTCTAGTGTTCTGTATGTACCTCCTGGAGAACTTGGTTTTTTGGGATTTTTTTCCAGGTATTAAAAGAGGACTACTACTTCTGCTAGAGCATGATAACTGTGTCTTTAGTTTTCTAGGTTTTCCCCTTAAAATTCATAGACTTTCAAATACAGTAGACTCAGTGACAAAAATATAATTTCCTAATGTAAAAAAGAAGCCCCAAAGCCCTCAAAAGTGTTTCAGATTTGCTAGTGTATTGTGAAAAAGAAGAAGCTGATTTTTTTTATTTTTCAAGTCAGGCTTAAAGAAGACATCTATCATTATTCTCAGTGGGAGTAAATTCTAACTGGGAGCTGCAAGCTGGCTAAAGGCAGTCAGAAGAGTGACTCTTTCACCAGATTTTGATAAATGTGGGGTTTTTCCTACGTTCAAAACACAGGCTTGTATTTATTGTGGGTATCAAAGGTGATGTTATTCAATAAAAAAGGACAGCTTGTGAGAATAAAATAAAAAGGACAGCTATGGTGGTGGTAGAAGATATAAAATTGTAGGAGAGGATCAATGACTCTTGTAAGGTAGCTTGTGCCCCAGCTGGAGTGGTTGTGAAAAATGGCAATGGAAGAAAGAGAAAAGTGACTTCAAATATCAGATAGAAATGACATTTCTTTCAATAGATAGTTCTGCTGATTGAAATCAACTGGTTATCTCAGATTAGTGGGTTGAGGTGATTTACTCAAGCTGAGACACTATCCCCAAGTTTCCTTCTGGAAGGCAAAGATAAGCAGATGTAATAGTAACAACAATGTCATTCAGTGTTTCTCACAATGATTAGGCCTATATTAGAGAAGGTAGAAAACAGACTGTACTGCTGAAACATGGGATTTGCACAATTTGCACTTATTTGAACATTTTAAACAGTCAGTCTTCCATAAAAATAAAACTACAAGGTTTTGAGATAAACCTAGATAATAAAATTGCCAAAAGTAGAACACCTGTGATTATGTTGACATCGATATATGATATTGATGTCAATATCAATACATATGTTGACATCAATACATTTTTGTGTGTAAGTCTTCAGTGAGAGGACAGACTTGATACTGGAATTCCAGAGCCTGCAATTAGACACAGCTATAATCCTGAGGATTATTATAAACCCTCCACAAGAAGCCTGTCAAGAACTTCTCTAAAAGCTACCCAAGATTATTGTCATACTTAGAGTGGGGTTCATTTTCAATGAG